GCATGCAGTGTACAAGTCCTTAATAGGTCAATTTTGCCTTCAGGGGTTAAAATTTAAAATGGATTAGGGAAAAAACAGAAAAGTACAAGAGGAGGAAGAGATCAGAGGTAAAGCTGGAGAACAAAGGAGGATCACACTAACTTTGGGAAAGTGGTGCAGAACAGTGGGGAGAGAGAAGAAAGAGCTAAGAAGAAGAACAGAATAGAACCACAACCACAAAGAGGCTAGAAACCACATTCACACTCATATAAAAACAAGATCAAACAATGAAGGAGAAAAAAATAAAGCACAAAAACAAAACCACTACCACAACAAAAAGAAAACGAGAGAGAGAAAAAGCAAAAAGAAAAAAGGTCCACTTTCAGGTTTGTCTCTTTTGTCACTGGTAGACAACTTTGGAGACAGAGTCCTGATCTGTGCTGATTTATCCTAGCAAGCCAGCAGTAGCTTACTGGTGGGGTAGTGGATAATCTCAGTGGGACTGCATCTTCTGGTGGAGACCACATTCATTTGGGCTGCAGCTGTCAGTGCACCTTCTGCAGGCCTGAGCCTAGCTGGGATCAACAGGTGGAGTCAGCAGCCACTCTGAGTTCTGAGTTCAACCCTCTCCATAATGTTCCTCGCCAATCACTCTCTCATGTGGGACAACGGAGCCCTCCACGCTCATAGCCATCCAGTGCAGTCCTTAATGTCCACTGCTCCCCTCCACTACTATGTCTCTCTGTGGAGGGGTCTGGGGCTGCCAATGGTCACTGTGTGTCTGCAGGTCTGAATCACTGCTCTCTCGCAGTGTATTGTGTCTTAGGGAGAAGGCACCACCAGCAATCTGCTTCTTCCTTTTTGAAGTTTCTCTCTTCACTCTCTCTGTAGGTTTCAATTCGTACCTCAGATGCTTCCTAGGTCCTGGAGACCCACTTCCCTCCTTGTCTTCTCCAAGTTACTATATTTCAGTGTCTGGATGGTGACTTTCACAGAGGCTTTTTCTCTGCTGCATACCACTCCACCATCTTGGTCTTCTCCAGTTGTATAACCACATATTTTTATCATAAATACATCTGATAATGACTAAAAATAATATTTGCTATTGGAGAATAAAACATATAACTAAAATTTTAAAAATAAAATATTTATGGACACAAATCAACAATTCAGAGCTGAAACAGGTTTTATAGGACAGTATACTCAGCTATAATTTAAGTAATGTGAAATTAAGAGGGTGACTTCAAATTAGTTGTTCAGATTACAACAATATGCAATATAACAACCATTGTTGAATTCCTACCATCTTGTTTAGTGAAGCACTGTATCATTTCTAATTTTTTTTAAAAACTTTTTATTCTTTCATTGTTTGATCAATCTTGCATTCTTATGTCTGGTAATCTGAGCAACTTCGTTGAAGATAATAATATGTCATATAATAACCATTGTTAATTTCTATCATCTTGTTCTGAAATCCTGTATCATTTTTATTGCTTTTGTGCTGTTTTGTTTTTGTCTTTCTTGTTATTTTTTTCTCTTTAAAATAAAAAAATGAAAAAAAAGTAGAGGCTGAAATTAGATATGAATACTGACTCTACTAGTTATTATTTATATGACTTTAAGCAGTTATAGTACCTAAGCCTGTTACCTACAAAACACAATAGTATACTATTTATAGAAATAATATAGGTGCCTCAGAGGATTAGCCTAGTAATTAAATGAATAATTTATGTAGGTGCTTAGCACAGTACCTATTAGGTATTTTAAGATAATTTTTAAGAAAAACTTTTTAAAGGTTAAATACATAACTATATCATTCAGTTTTCATTCTTTTATAAGATGTCATACAAATGCAATTTGTTTTTTCACGTGTTTTTACTAGAGCATGTTTGTAGTACATAATTACATTCATTGTGGGCAGTTGGTACATGTACATAACAGATCTTAATTCTTTTTCATTCCCCTTCCCTTTCCACTTAGCTCCATAATTCATGATTTAAAAACTAGTCTATAACCATACTTTTTCATTTTGGAAATGTTCAAATTTTGAAGAAAGATTTATAAAAATTATCTTTTCCCAGAAAGACAAAAATCAAACAAGAAGCTATGGCTCTTTTGAAAATTGGTGCTAAATAACATCACTTCCACTATCATTACTGCTACTAAATAGTGTTTTGTAATATCTGGATGCTGTACTGATGGTATATAACTTAATCCTCACAGTAACCTTTATTACAACTGAGAATAAACCCAGCTTACTCAAAATACATATAATAGTAACAAATTTATTCTCAAAGAAAAACAGCTCCTATGACATTGAATTCAAACCTGAGTGATCCAGTTCCTGTCAGTGAATGAACACAACTGATACAGCTAATTAATTTTAGTCATAATTTATAGAAATGTGATTAAAGGTCAAGTAAGTGATAAGACAATATAGTAAAATTACCTTATTATCACTAATATGAAGAGAAAAAGGTGTTCAGAAAGTCCACTGTCAGTGGATAGATACTCACTAAAACTTCTGTTTTGGAAATAGAAAGCCCCATCCCCCAAAACAAATTCTCATTAGAAAAGCTCCTAAAGCCACATTAACTTTCCCAGTTGCTTTGCTTAGGCTCTCTGTGGGTTCCCACTCTCCTTATCCCTATGTACACTGCACTTCTGCCTTTACAGAAACACCAACAAATATTTGGCACTTTTGTGTTACCTTATAGACAGTACTACCTTATAAATGCATTTACCACTTTCTTTACTTTTCATTCCTTCAATGTATTCCTTTTTCATCTCAGACCTCTGTCAACTTATCCACTTTAGAGTTTCTTTCATTGAGATTTTTTAGTGGTATTCTCTCACTGTTTCTTTGACAATGTGTTTTTATGTTTTTGAAAGCTATTTTGGTTGATTTTAGAATTACAGGTTGGCAGTTACTTTCTTTGAACACAGTGTCTTCGAATGCTGTTATTGCTACTGAGAAAACAGATGCCAATCTAACATCACACCATGAAGGTAATTTATCTTTTATTTTGGTTTTGGTTTTTTTTTTTTTGGTACCGGGAATTGAACTCAGGACCTTGTGCTTGCCAGGCAGGCACTTATGCCACTGAGCTATGTCCCCAACCCCTATCTTTTATTTCTAGATGGTTTTGAAAGCTCTGTTACTTAATTTTACTATCAATTATCTAGATGCAGACTTCTGTGTATTCTGCTGTGATTCTTTTATCTGCAGATTGGTATCATACTAATTCTGAGAAATTCTCAGATGTAGATGTTGAATGTCTCATTCTTTTCTCCTGAAACTAAGAATTCATTGCATCAACCCCATCTATCCTCCATGACTATAAAATATCTTTCGTATTTTTCATCCTATAGACAATGTGTTCTAATTTTAAATTTAAATTTCTATTTAAACCCATTCATTAAAAACACTAGTTTTTGTATTTTTTTCCTCTTCTAAAATTCTATCAAATTATTTTTTCAAATCATCTAAACCACTTTTATACTTTATCCAGTGAGATTTTTTATTAGGACTTTTATGTATACAGCAATCGCTCTCTCTTGTTCCTTTACTGGCACTGAACTTCCCATCAGCTTGTTGTGATGGTTCACACTGACTGTTAACTCGAGACGCCTACCGCGTTCATAAAGCACCCTGGGTGTACGTGGGGGATAGGTCTGGCACTGACTGGACGCAGGCTGGCAAACTGCAGGGGAAAGACCCACTCTGTCTGAGGACGGCACTGCCCAACAGGCCTGAAGCCTGGATGGCCTGAAGAGGGGAAGAAGGAAGACATTGGCTGTGTCTGAAAGCTCCCTTCTGCTTGTGTCTCTTGCTGCTGCCATCACCTGTGGACACCAGACTCGAATTTCTTCCGCCTTTCAATGTGGACGCATACCAAAACCGTCTGAGTAGCTCCTGGGCCTTCAAGCTTGGACTGGCACTTATGTAACCATAATTCCTCTTATTCCAACGTTTCCAGGTTCCTGCGCTGAGCAGCTACTGGCTTTCCATTATGTAAACAGCTACTGTGGACTATCTTACCTCCGATATTGTAAGCCTATCTAATAAATCCCCTAATTATACATAAAAGGAAGAACTATACAGTAAAAGTAATCAGGGCTCCTAGAAGGTATGGCTGATGACCTATTTGTAACAGGAAATGTGTGCACACACATAACGTTCTACTGCTTCTGTTCCTTTAACCCTGGCTCCTCTAACAGATGCCCCTACCATACTTTTCTAATGAAAATACTTACTTTAGCATGATGGTAGCCAGCTGTGTGTCTCAGCAGCTACAGTGGGGGACTTCAGGAAGCAATGTTTATGTTTACCCATTTGGCAGACAAACAGCAAGGTGTATGTACGTGTGTCAAAGTATCAACAGGTGAGTTTTAACTCACCTTACATGCCGTGTTAATTTTTCTGTATTTGTAACTTCGTTCTTAAGTATTTTCTTTCGATTTTTCTTATTGAACTAGCCAAATTCAGTACAGTATCACATGAAAATCTGCTTTTACAACTTTGGGAGGAGGTTGAAGTGAGTCATCAGGTGACTCGGCCACCGATGATGCCCTGGATAATGTAAGCCAGAGAAGTTGTGACACTGAGATGGAGCAAACGACAGAGGAGTACAGAATGAACACCTTCTTTTAGAGGAGGAAGAAAACAGTAATGTAAATAAATATTTGACTAGTCAAAATGCTACTAAATGGTCATGTATACCTGAATGATCCAATGTTAGAACTAGGTCAGAAAATACTGCCTTGCCGGGGTGAAACTGTTGAAAGAATGCCAACACTCATGTGAAAATAATTTATGAATTGAATAACAGAAGGAATAAAAATAGTATTATTCCTTAAGTCCACTTTTACTCTGACAACTACAAATAAATGTTTTGATGGGCTGGGGAGACTGCTCAGCAGCACAGCACCTGCCTGGCAAGTTCTGAGTTCAATTCCTGGTACCAAAAAAGAAAGTTCTGCTTATATACAAAACAGATTTGACAATGTAGAAACAGTACCTTGTCTACATGGAAAATTAAATCCAGTTCACAGACATTTTCAAAACATTTGTCTAATGTTTCCACAAATACCTGTGGAAAAAGAACAAAAAGGAAAAATACTTTTGAGAACTATGTAAATACATTCTAATTTATTATCCATAAGGCAGGCAATTCTTAACTGAGAACTAAAACTTTTCCATTTTTCAAAACTTACATTTTCCTTAAAACTAAAAACTATTACATGCAGAATGAGTGAAAAAAGGTAAGCTACTTTGCAATACATAGTATATAAACACATTTTTCTAAAAATTGGTATAACTAGCTGCAAGTTCCAGCACCATTACAGTGGTACCTCAATTCACCAACTTAATTCTTTCCAGGATTCTAGTCATACATCAAACTGAACATGAACCCAATCAAATTTCCCCATAAGGTCAACCAGTATTGAACCTAATCATTAAATTTGATTAGGTTCTCATCCAGTTCAGTTGCACCCAGAATCATGGTAAGAATTAAGTTTGTGAACTGAAGTACCACTATACTTGTATTTTTTAAGAAACTTAAAAACACTCAAATCATGCTCCTTATCTTCAGGGGTGTGTGTGTGGGGGGGTATGTGTGTACGGGTATTAGAAACTGTTATCAAAGATGGATGTGGTGGCATATGCCTGTAATCCCAACACTTGGGAGGCTGAGGCAGGTACAGTAGATTTTAAGTTCTGGGCCCTCCTAAGCTACATACTTACAGTCCAATTTCTTACATCTAATGTAGCCAGTAATTTTTAATTAGTATAAAGACAAAAATTACGGAAAGAGCAATAACTTTGGAATTCAACTCACCTGTGTTTAAATGCTGGCTTAAAAAACTTGTATGACTTTGCATGGGAAGTCATGCCATCATCCTGATTTCAAACTCTGCACACTTCCCCAAAACGGTGTGTTTTCAGGACCAGGCTTTGACAAGCTCCTGAAAACTAAGTTCTGACCTTTCAGAATGTTCTACCTGATAAGAGTGTGTTTGTATTGCAGAGGTTGTGGGATTTACTACACTAGTTTGAGAAGACAGTTTGCACTCATAATGTGACTTACGGTGAATACCTGTTTTTTCTTGGGGGACGTGCCTGGAGCTCAGGTAACCAGGGTCAAAATCCTGGACTCATAAGCTAGGATGGGCTTCCCTAGGTAGGAACACTTTGTACATTATCATATTCCTGGAAGAATTAAGCATGTCCCCTGTAACTCCAGTAAGAAGAGACCTAAAAGCTCACAGTTTATTTCCTCCAGACTTTTTACTATGTGTTTTGCTGGTTTCATTCTATATCCTTTCACTGTATTAAATTATAGCTATAAATATACAACAGTTTCTGAGTCCTGTTAATTCTAGGAGCTCATAGAGATGGTCTTGGGAACCCTAGCAACAAACCTTAAGAAAACAAGCTCTTAAATTACACTTTGCGTAGCTGTCACTAACTTAGTAGCAATATAAGTAGTAACTTACATTCTCACCCCACTCCACCCCTGCCATGGTAGCCTTCATGGACAGTGACTATACAATTTACCATGCATACCAGGGAAATATTAAGAGTAAAAGGGAACAGCTATTAACAATTATTACAAAAAGAGCATGCAAGGTTATAACAGTCTGGAATAGCAAGTGTAAATCAGAAATATCCCAGGCAAACTGAAATGTATGGTCACCCTATTCATAATATGATCCTATGGGGCAAGGAGCAAAATCTAAACAACTCTTGTTTTAACTGCTCCAATCTCAAGCCAATTTACGTAAGTCACAAATCAAGGTTCCTTTAAGTATAATCAATACTATCGTAGATTAGAGGTTGGCAAACTGTCTGCAAAGGGCCATACAGCCTAACACAAAAGTTGCCATAGATAATACATAAACAAATGAGCATGGTTCTGTTGCAAAAAACTATTTACAAAAAAACGAAGCAGTCTAGATTTGACCTTCAGTTAAATTCCTCAGGCCAAAGTCACGAGAAGAAATAATAGGTCTGTAGTTACCAAGAATGCATACAATTTTAACCATCATTTCATTTGTGAGAAGGTAAATTGTTAAAATGAGGAAGAGCAGGACATACATGCAACTCACGGAGGCTGGGTCACTAGACCCTGTCTCAAAGTAAAAAAAGCACAAGTAGAGCAGAGCAGAGCAAAACAAAAACAAAGAAAAGGTGGGCTGGGGGCTATAGCTCAGTGCAAAGACCCCGGGTTCAACGTGAGGGATGTGTTAGTGGAGCACACATGTGTGACATCAAACATGTATTTGGTTTTTCTAACTTATGGTCCACAGGTCCTAGAATGCCTGGAATCTCAGAAGTGATACAGAAGTGATACGCCTCTTCATATGCCACTGAGATGACTAACGGCTGGGGCCTTGTCAATAGCCTCAGAATGGGGGCTGGATGCCGGGAGAGCCAACCTGAGGATCAGGAGGTTGAAACTTTCAGTTTCACTCCACTCTGCAACCTCCAGGGAGGTTAAAAGGGTAAAATGTTAAGCTAATCATCAGTGACCAATGATTTCATCAATCATCCCTCCACAATGGAAGTTTCTATAAAAAAACGATAAAGGCCTGGGTTAGGAGCTTTGGATAGCTGAACACACGCAGATATCAAGAAGGTGGTGTTCCAAGGAAGGCATGAAAGCTCTGCATCACTTCCCACATATTTTGCCCTATCCCTTATCTGGTAATATCCTTTATAATAAATGGATCAATGAAAGTCAAGTGTTTACCTGAGCTCTTCAAGCTGCTGTAGCAAATTAATCAAATCTCATATGAGGGTCATGGGAATCTCAATTTACCCATCTGGTCAGAAGTAAAGGTCACAAAAACCCACCCGTGACTGCAACTGAAGGGGGAGGTAGTGCCAGACCCTCAATTATGGGAGCTGACACTATTTCCAGACAGATTGTCAGAACTGATTCATAGGACACCCACTTGGTATCTGCTGGAGAAGGGCTTGGTTTGTGAGGGAAACCCACACGTATGTGCTGTTAGAAATACTGTGATAGGTGACTGGATGAGGAGAGGGAAGGGTGTCTTTCCTTTTCCTACAGGTTGGCCTCATGTGAGTTTAGTTTATTGTAATTTTGTGGTAGAAACATTACTGAGTAGCCACCCTCTCAACTGTATCTCTCCTGAAGGCCACCGACATGGTCCCTAAAATCATCTTCATTCTGTCACTTTGTGATCGAACAGATTCTCCTTAGGGGCCCAAACGGGGTAATGGCACTTCAACAGTGAGTTAAATGTTAACTTCATGGGGAAAGTAAGAACGGGAGTAAAAAGAAGAAAATTTTTCTCCTTGAGAAAAAAGGAAGTATTTTTGGAACAATTTAAACTTAAACATCATGTAAATACTAATTTATAAAATTATACTTAAAAGTTACAAAAAATAAAGCCATTTATGCCCTCCCCCCATAAATTTTAACCGAAGTATAACATACATATAGAAAATCACCCCAATCCTAACAATACATAACATGACACATTTTCACAGAGTAAATGTATCTGTATAATCAATGCCCAAATCAAGGTTATCATCTTTATTTTTCTGCAATGCTGAGGGCTGAACACAACGCCTCATGCAGACTAGGCAAGTGCTCTACTGCAGAGCTACATGCAGTCTTCAAACCAAGCTATAGAACAAACCAGCATTAGAGAAAATCCTTCTCACTGTCCATCTGTCACTACAAAGGCAACACTATATATACATTTTGCCTACTTCTGAATCATGTTTCACTGTTATCTCTATGAGATTCACTTGCATTACTACCTAATACAATAGCTCACTCATTCTCATACAATACGCCTGTGAATGAATATACTACAATGTGATTATCCATTCTACCACCGAAAGAAATCTGGGTTGTTTGCAGTATGGGGATATTATAATCAGTATCTTTAAGAACATTCTTACTCATGTGTTTTACTGAATACATATACATATATCTATTGGATGTAAACCTACAGTAGAAATCATCAGAGAGTAACATGCTTTAAAATGCAATACAAATATTCAGTTATCATATGAATGTGTACTCATATACTTAGCAGTGTAAGAGAGTCCTCGTAGTTCTGCATGTTTGTCTGTACTTACACTGTCAATCTTCATTTTAGCAATACTTTTTCCTACTGAGGTACAGGAATTCTTTACATATTCTAGATAGTCTTTTGTTATATGTACAACTTACAAATACCTTCTTTCATTCTACGATTTGGCTTTTCATTCTCATAATAGTGTCCTCTGAAGATCAGTTTTAAAATCAAAAGTAGGCCCTTTTTGGCTTCTTCTTAATGTTTATTATTGTTTTGCCCAATTTAAGAAACCTTTGCTATAACAAAGTCAGGAAGATGTTTTCTCAGAGAAGAACAAAAGCTTTTATACTTTACTTTTCATGTTTGTACATCAAAAGTAACTGATTTTTGGGTATGGCATGGGATGGTCTTTTTTTTTATTTTAAAGATAAAAGGAGGGAAACATTAACAGACATACAACATTTTACAACATATCACAAGCACAATACAGACAATACAGAGTTCCAAACAAAGTGGTAGGGAATTAACAATGGTGGTTGTATTACATATTGATATCTTCAAAGTGGCTTCTCATGAAAACAGATATAGACATGCAATACTGGTCAACCAAAGACTCATTGACAGTTTCTTTCAGCATAGAAATAGAAGACAGAAGAACAACCATGTTGACTATCCTGTATATACATACATACAAAATTTCTCCTCCTTTCCCTTCTCTTTTGGGATGGTCTTCCTTAATTCTTTTTTTTTTTTTTTTTTTTTTTCCGGTACCAGGAATTGAACTCATGACCTTGTGATTGACAGGCAGGCACTGTGCCGCTGAGCTAAATCCCCAGCCCCGGTCTTCCTTAATTCTAAATCACTATTAGAATTACTAACCAGAAACATATTTTCAGTACTCTTTTTTTTTTTATGCTTACTTTTACCATTTCTATTACTTTGATTATGTGTATGTTGCAGTCATGCTTTTTAACCATCAAAAATGGACTGTCCTGGGCAAAATGCTGTTTCAATAGTTTTCCTTCATTTA